TTAGTGTTGCCTTACGGTTCAGGGATATATATTGTGTATTGCGATGCTTCACGCATTGGCTTGGGTTGTGTATCGATGTAGGAGGGGCAAGTTATTGCATACGCTTCACATCAGCTGAAGCCCCACGAGAAGAATTACCTCGTACATGATTTGGAGTTGGCCGCGATAGTTCATGCCCTCAAGATCTGGAGGCATTATCTTTATGGGGTGTCCTGTGAGGTTTACACCGATCATCGCAGCTTGCAGCATTTGTTCAAGCAGAGGGATATCAATTTAAGGCGGCACAGGTGGCTTGAATTACTAAAGGACTATGATATTAATATCCTTTATCATCCGGGCAAGGCGAATATGGTTGTGGATACCTTGAGCAGAAAGGCTGAGAGTATGGGTAGTTTGGCATTCATTCAACAGAGGAGAGGCCATTGGCTTTGGACATTCAGTCCTTGGCTAACAGACTTGTGAGGTTGGATATTTCAGAGCCCAGTTGAGTTCTTACATGCGTTGTGGCTCTTGGTTCTTAGGGAGACGGTACTACAAGGTGGTGCCAAGGAGGTTACTATCGGTGAGGATGGTGTTCTACGACTCTAGGGTCGTCTATGTGTTCCTAATGTTGATGGATTGAGGGAAAAGATTCTAGATGAGGCATGTAGTTCTCGGTATTCTATTCATCCAGGTGCTACGAAGAAGTATCGTGACCTGAGGCAGCATTATTGGTGGCGGAGGATGAAGAAGGACATAGTTGAGTATGTAGCGAGATACCTAAATTGCCAGCACGTTAAGTGTGAGCACTAGAGGCCAGGTGGCCTACTTCAGCAGATGGTTATACCTGAGTGGAAATGGGAGCGCATCACCATGGGCTTCGTGGTTGGGTTGCCTCGGATGTTGAGGAAGTTTGATGCCATTTGGGTCATTGTCGACAGGCTGACCAAGTCGGCACACTTTATCCCAGTGATGACTACATACTCGTCAGAGAGTTGGTCCAGATTTACATTCAGGAGATTGTCCGGTTGCATGGTGTGCCTGTTTCCATCATTTCAGATCGAGGCCCTCAGTTCACTTCGCACTTCTGGAGAGCAGTATAGAGCGAGTTGGGTACCCAGGTAGAGCTTAGCAAAGCCTTTCATGCGCAGACCAATGAGCAGTCGGAGCTGACAGTTCAGATCCTAGAGGATATGCTCAGAGCATGTATGATTGACTTCGGAGGGCAGCGGGATCGATTCTTGCCTTTGGCCGAGTTTGCTTATAACAACAGTTATCAGTCTAGCATTGAGATGGCTCCATTTGAGGCTTTGTATGGTGGGAGATGTCGTTCGCCCATCAGATGGTTTGAGCCCGGCGAGGCTAGGTTATATGGCACTGATTTAGTGAAGGATGCCTTGGAAAAGGTGAAGTTGATTTAGGAGCGACTTCGCACAGCACAGTCCAGACAGAAGAGTTACACAGATCAGAAGGCGCGTGATTTATCATCTATGGTGGGCGAGAATGTTCTCTTGAAATTCTCGCTGATAAAGGGAATCATGAGGTTCGGGACGAAGGGCAAGTTGAGCCCAAGGTTTATTGGTCCATTTGAGGTATTGAGGCAAGTTGGGGAGGTTGCTTATGAGCTTGTTTTGCCTCCCAGTGTATCGGGAGTTCATCCAGTTTTCCACGTGTCTATGCTCCGGAAGTATCATGCTGACAGGTCGCATGTGTTAGACTACAGCATGGTTCAGCTAGATGAGAGCATGGGTTATGAGGAGGAGTCAGTTGCCATTGTTGATAGGCAGGTTCACTAGTTGAGGTCTAAGGAGATTTCTACGGTAAAGGTCCAGTGGAGGAGTCAACCAGTCGAGGAGGCGACTTGGGAGACCAAGGAGGACATGCGGAGCAGATATCCACACCTATTCAGCACTCCATGTATGATTCTAGACCCGTTCGAGGACGAACATTTGTTTAAGAGGTGGAGAATGTATTGACTCGATCGATCTTTTTTGCTTTTTAGGTCTTCGTTCCCCTAATTAAGACTCCCCGTATGTGTTTTTACTATTTTATGACTTGCGGGGATAGTTGACTTGGGTTTGGAAGGGTTCGGGTTAAAATCGGAACACTTGGTTCCTTAATAGTGGCCTAAGATGGCCAAGTTTGACTTGAGTCAACTTTTTTAGTAAACGACCTCGGAACCGGGATTTGATGATTTCAATAGGTTCGTATGATAATTTTTGACCTGGGCGTATGTTCGGATCGGGTTTCAAATGACCCGAGAGCGTTTCAGCGCTTAATGTTGAAAGTTAGCACATTGAAGGTTTTCTAGTTCTTTAAAATTTGGTTTGGAGTAGATTTTGGTGTTATCGAGGTCTGTTTGGGATTCCGAGCCTGGGAATAGTTTTGTATGGTAATTTATGACCTGTACACTAAATTTGGTGTCATTCCGAGTAGTATGATTCGGTGCGTTCGGAGTAAGTTGAAAAGCTTAAAGTTCATAACTTGATTCAATTTGGTTTTGGGGTGCGATTCCTAGTTTTGATGTTGTTTTACATGTTTCGAGAGTTCGATCAGCTCTGCATTATGTTTACAGATTTGTTGGTGCTTTTGGACGGGGGGCTCGGGTACGTTTCGGACCACCCGGAGCTAAGTCCAAAAAGATGTCACTGTTGTTCTGGTTTCCTTCTTCGCGAACGCGTAAGGAACCTCGCGATCGCGAATAAGGAATTGGGGACTAGGTGGGTTTGTTCTTCGCGTTTGCGAAGGCTTGGTCACGTTCGCGAAGGCTTGGGTTCAGTAGCCTTCTCGTTCGCGATTGACTTGGCGCGTTCCCGTAGAGTACGTGTGCATGGGCCCGGGCAACCCAGTTTCCTTATGCATTCGCGAGTGGAGGCACGCGTTCGTGATGAGAGGGCGACTTAGAGCATCGCGATCGCGAAGAGGAATTTTCCAGGGTTCTTGGGTTTTGCCTTCGCAATCGCGAGGGCTTGTCCGCGATCGCGATGAAGGCAGACCTGGTCAGACACTTTTTAAAAGTCAGGATTTTGGCTATTTTGCTCATTTCTCTCACTTGTTGGACGATTTTAGAGCTCTTTGAGGAGGCTTTTTCACCTAGATATTGAAGGTAAGTATTTTCTACATAACATGAGTTTAATACATACATTATGGATAGATTTAAACATAGAAATTGTGAAAATTTTAGGATTTTGTTGAAACCCCTAGATTTTGATAAATATAGGATTAGACCACGAAAATGATTATGGAACTGAGTAGAAATTATATATTTGGGTTCGTGAGGTTATGGGTAACATTTATCTTCGAAAATTTTTGGAATCCGGGCACGTGAGACCGAACTTTATTACTTGGGGTTTTGGCGGGTTACTTGATCGTTAGTAGAAATTTTACCTCCTTGTGTATTATTCTTGTAGTAGCCGTTAAATCAGAGTTCGTAAAGTATTCTCTCTTCTTGTGGATCGGGCCGAACGCCTCGGCACTATAATAGATGCATTTATGATTCGCGCCGGTCGACACTCGGCAGTGTACATATTATTATGGATCGGGTCGTACGACCTCGGCATAAATCATGCGTGATATTGCTCGGAGTCCGATTATACTTAATATTTCTTCCATGACTTGAGAAATTATAATTTACTTGATGGCTCTTATTTGATGAAGTTAGTATGTGTTAGTTGGTGATCTTAATTGACAACTAGTTAAAGAATCACTTATGTATTGTTCATTATTGCGCTATCCTTATTTATGTATTCCATGCCTATTTAGAATTTAAGTACTTTATTTATTGGCCCTTAATAAGTGTCGATGTCGACCCCTCGTCACTACTTCTTCGAGGTTAGAATAGATACTTACTGGTATATGTTGTTTATGTACTCACGCTACACTTCTGCACTAATCGTGCAGGATCTGAGGCAGGTGCATCTAGAGGTCCTTCAGGCGTGTACCCCCGTTACCCAGAGGCTTAGTGGTGAGCTGTTCTCTATGTCCGTTCTGCAGCGCCCAGAGTCTATGCTTATTGTATTTATTTTCTGTCTATCTTATTCCAGACAGTAGTATAGGAGGTTTTGTATATTCTACTAGTTTGTTCATGCAGGTGTGACATCGGGTTTTGGGAGTATTCTAGTAGACATTTTATAGTTTTGGGTATTAAATTCACTACTTTACTCTTTTCGTTATTTGGTGCTTTGGTTTTACTATAATTTCCTATTAATAGTTCTCTCATTAAATAAAATCAATTACTTTAAAAAAATATTAAAATGAACAATTGCATGGACAGTTTACCGTTGGCTTGCCTAGCGGCAACGTTGGGCGTCATCGCGGCCTATAGTGGGAATTGGGTCGTGACAATTATTTTTAAATGAAATTTGGATTGAATTTTAAGTTGACTATATTGATTGAGGACTTCTATGGGGCAAAGTTTCTTCCTTCTGTTGTGTTAACTAAATATGATCAACAATCATCATTTTCAGAAACATAACTTTTAATGTAATATTGATGTAATTTCTAAAAAAAAATTGTATTTATTAAGAGGGGGTATACGCGCAATGCGCGTACCCTAAGACTGGTTTAATTAAATATAGGTAACCCATACTTTTGTCCTCAGCTTTTCCTAGTGTTTATTTTAAGCCCATATATATGGGCTGGTTTATTGGTCAATATCTACTATATTTTCAGTGTTGGAATATTACATACCAAGAATCATTTATGAGAGAAATCACTTCCCCAAAGATATGTGAGTAGATGGTCGATGAAGAACTTATCTAATTCAAGCCTCGTGAATTCGTTAGGTCGGACTTGGAGTCAGTAATAGTGGGTGATAGTGGAAGTGTTATGTAGGTCCAAAGGCAGTGTGTTTTGAGTAAGTGAAATATCTACTCTTAATTCTTGGCAAAAGAAAGCCCCATGAATGACCAAACTGAGACTTGGGTAGATAAAGTTAAGAGAACATTTATTACTCCGACATTTATTAGGTAGTACAATATTATGTTTCCGAAGGCTCTTTTGAGGTATTAAGGTCTTCGATCTGTGAGGAAGTAACCCATTTTTCATCTACACAAAAATGAATTAACATAATTAAGACGGCAAGAGAACTGGGAAGCAATGCAAAGAAGACCTCCCAAGCTGAAACGTGCCTCTGAACAATTTCGACTAAACCTATTCTCGTAACTGCAGTTCAGAATTACAGCCAACAGGGCGACAAACCACGTCTATGAAAAGGTATCTTGTCTCGGGCATATTTATTCTAGTGATGCAAGGCATAAAACAGGTACCACCATACCTCTTCGAGAAGCTTATACAAAAGGGTCGCAAGTACAATCAAGTAGGCAGAAAGAAGGGGAAAGTATGCTGAACAAGGACAAACATAAACCTCAGCTTGTTTAACCAGTAAGTGCAGCATTAAGCGCACTATGTACATCAACGCCTATCTGGGCTTCAGCTTTCTCTACATCAGTTGATGCTGTACTTAACTTTTGTGTAAACTCAGTCAGGCCCTTTTGAACCAAATTGGAATCGATGCGGTCAAGTGGTACAGCTTCAATAGCAATTATATCTGCAAAAGAATTTGCATGAACAAATGCAAACCCACCACTCACAAAGTACTTGGAGATGTCGTTGCCTTCATGAACTGATAAGACACCAGGCTTCAGCTCAGCAATTGTTGCCACATGCCCAGGCAAGACACCCATCTGTCCCGTAGTTGCGGGGATTATAACCATGTCAACCTAGAATGTAATGCGAACGGATGAATTACCAAGCTTGAGGTCTATGCACATAGACAAGAGTGGGTTGCTCTAGTGGTAAGCACCCTCCACTTCCAACCAAAAGGTTGTGAGTTCGAGTCATCCCAAGAGCAAGGTGGGGAGTTCTCTTGGAGGGAGGGAGCCGAGGGTCTATCGGAAACAGCTTCTCTACCCTAGGGTAGGGGTAAGGTCTGCGTACACACTACCCTCCCCAGACCTCACTAGTGGGACTATACTGGGTTGTTGTTGTTGTTGAGGTCTATGCACATAAGCATACATTAAATCTGACACAAGCCTTCTCACATTCTTGACACATGTTGAGACATTGAACCACAAATTTACTCTGATTCAGGTTGGTTCCAGTATTTAATCTAAAACTTAATGGGGGCTAAAGTCAGATCCTCCAATATGTTAACTAATCTGTGAAAATAACCACCCTAGTAAAATCTGCGTAATTGAAAACAAAGAAAATAACAGCACCAAATTTCCGATCTGAGGAATGTTGTGGAGTTCATTACAAGACCTATGAAAGAGATGCTTTTGATGGGAAAAAAAAACTGATGTTCCTCTAAAGTCACAAATGAACTTAAATTTAGAGACTGATTAGGTGATTCTTCGTAGCATAACAATAAGTAGAAGAAGTCACCAAATCTGTTTTTCTTTTGAAAGGCCACTCTTACAGAAAGTCTATTTCTCGAGTAGAATGCTAACACTCCAAGGAATTAAAAAGACACAACAGAAAATCCAAATTATACGAATGAAAATGTAGATTGTCAGTCGCTTTATCCAAAAATAGATGATTGTCAGCAACCTAATCATCCCCTCAAAAGGACACTTCTCCGTGATTTCTGCTTGAAGCAATTATTATACAAGATAAAATATAAAAAGCTTCAAGCATACAACTTTCATGGGCCTTAAATTTATTTACTAAAGATTTTCCTTGAATCAAATTACAACAACAACCCAGTATAATCTCACTAGTGAGGTCTGGGGAGGGTAGAGAGTACGCAGACCTTACCTCTATCTCCAAGAAGGCAGAGAGGTTATTTCCGGTAGACACTCGGTTCGAAAAAGATAAAGACAACAACAAGTATATCAATCGAAAAACCAGAGAAAAAATACAAAACTAACAGTAAGTACTGTAATCAGAAAGCCGAAACGAAAGCAACAACAAGTAATAACAGAAATCAAGGGATACGACAATACACATATAGGACAACACTCGGCTACCTATCCTAACCCTTAACCTTTATTCTCAACCTCCATACCTTCCTATCCATGGTCATGTCCTCAGTAAGTTGGAGCAACGCCATATCCTGTCTAATCACCTCTCCCCAATACTTCTTCGGCCTGCCTCTACCTTTCCTCAGACCCTCCTCTCGCACCTCCTCACCGGAGCATCTGTGTCTCTCCCCAACACATGTCTGAACCATCTAAGTCTTGCCTCCTGCATCTTCTCCTCCACAGGGGCCATGCCCACCTTGTCCCGAATAACTTCATTTCTAATTTTATCTATCCTGGTATGCCCGCACATCCATCTCAACATCCTCATTTCAGCTACCTTCATCTTCTGGACATGGGAGTTCTTGACTGGCTAACACTCCGCCCCATACAACATAGCTGGTCTGACCACCGCTCTATAGAACTTAACCTTAAGTGTTTGTGGCACATTCTTATCACACAAAACACCATAAGCGAGCCTCCATTTCGTTCACCCCGCCCCAATACGATGTGTAACATCCTCGTCGATCTCCCCATTCCCTTGAATAACTGACCCAAGGTATTTAAAACTCTCTCTTAGGGATGACTTGAGAATCAAGCCTCACGTCTTCATCCACTACCTGAGTCGCACCACTGAACTTGCACTACAAGTATTCCGTCTTAGTCCTGCTCAACTTGAAACCTTTAGACTCTAGGGTCCGCCTCCAAACCTCTAACCTCTCGTTAACACCGCCTCGCGTCTCCTCAATCAGTACAATGTCATCTGCAAATAACATGCACCACGGCACCTCCCCTTAAATGTGGCGTGCCAGAGTGTCGATCGCCAAGGCAAATAGAAATGGGCTGAGGGTTGACCCCTGGTGCAACCCCATCATAACTGGAAAGTGTTCCGAGTCCCCTCCCACGGTCCTCACTCGAGTGTTAGCTCCATCATACATGTCCTTAATAGCCCTAATATATGCAACAGGAACACCTCTACCCTCCAAACATCTCCACAGAACCTCCCTGTACTTTATCGTAAGCCTTCTCTAAGTCGATGAACACCATATGTAAATCCCTCTTCCTCTCTCTATACTGCTCCATCAACCTCTTAAGAAGGTGGATAGCTTCCGTAGTCGAACGTCCCGGCATAAATCCGAACTGATTCTCAGAAATAGTCACGATCCTCCTCAGCTCCATTACTCTCTCCCAGACTTTCATAGTATGATTTAGTAACTTGATGCCCCGATAGTTGTTCTGAGCGCCAGTTCTCTCGACCCACTTCCCATTTCAGCATCCCCAACTTACTTTACTTCCCTAATGTTCTCACATGTCAATTACAGATATTTTAAAACTGTTTCAAACTAACTCCTATGTGAGACTGGATTTAAATTCTTTTCTTGAAACTCCAAATTGGTCAAGTGAGACCAACTAAATTGGAATAGAGGGAGTATTGAGAAAGAAAGCTCCTTCCTTTAGCTTCTTTTCTTTTCTTTCTATTTTTCCTTTTCTTTTCTTTTTTTATGTACGCCAAGATGGTTATAATAAAAGATATTGACTACAAGCAGGCCTTATGCACCCTAGGAATCTAAACCACTATTTATACAACATGGACTTTCCTCTTTACACGAAAAAACATAAAAAAAACAAATGGAGAAAGAGAGAATTTTGAACTTTTAGTATTAACCCTCAATTTCATCAAAAGTTTTCTTATTCATCTCTCCATATTAACCAAAAGATACATAGACCGATAGACGGACAGTCTCGCATTATCTGTTTTTTCTAGCATCCATCTTGCCAACATCTCCGCCACAATTCTAGACTACTATCATACTTCATAGTAAGCACCTTCCTCCAAAGAGAATCCTCCTCGCATGCAGATCACACATCCATCTCGCAAAAAGAGCTCAATTAACCATAGCTAATCTCTGAATGCCTAGACCCCCAACCCGTTCTTAGACACAATTGAACTAGAGATTGTTCAGGATAAATGTTTGGTAACAAAACTGAGGAGCCTGCAGTCAATGAGAGAACTACGGACTACGGAGAAGAGTAATTTGGCTCATAATAGTGGGGATTTGGAAGAGTGCAACTATGGCAGTGACTGACTGGATCTATAACTCTCTTAGTCCCTCAAAACCTCCCTACTTTAGCTTACCTATCACGAATTAATTCTGTACCACAGCTTTGTCACCCCATTTGATTTTTCAAGATGGCAATCTATACTACTAATGCAAGCCAGAATAATGGAGTTCCAACTAAGAATTTCTTTATATTTCTTCTTTAGACTCAATGACTGTTTGTTTCAACTGTCTATTTTCGGGCCAAATCTGTAAAATGTTTGCTGAAACTCCATTATTTTTAGCAGTAAGATGTAGACACGCATGACAAACCTTAATATACCATGAGCTTGAAATTTGAAGGTATTAAATAGTAATGATAGATGAAAAGTATAATTAGATGTTTTTAGTGACCAAAAAGCAGTCAACAACATTACGGAACAGAACTCATACTCTAAGCTTCCCTAAATTTTGTCACCACGCCAAGCTATGGTTGGTGAAAGTATGGACAGAGTGAAAGGGGAAGGGAGAAATATTGCTAAAAACTCGTGAGCAAGTGCCCAGCTGAAAAACAAGAGGTATGCTCTCTATATTAAGCATTGACTCCATGATACTTATTTGTTCGCCTTTAATAGATAAGCTCGTGATCTTATCGTCTGTGTTAGTGATCTATCTTAGTCGATATATAGCGTGTATTTCTTTCACAGCCAATTCACCAAATGTGAAGTAAGAAACAACTCAGTATGGTGAAATGGTAACAGAACTTATCTATCCCAAGAATCCTCAAACGAAGTCAAGGATCTTCATAATTACAACCATGTTATGCTTTTCTAAAGAAAATTGAATTAATGTGACATCCCTAAATCATGAGCTACTTGATCTTCAAGGTAGATGCTTAGTACTTCATTCCATTTTAAGTGAAAAGCTTTGAATAAGCACAACATTAAGATATTAATTTGACTTAATGTATTATATTAGTGATAGTAGACATAATATTTCAGAAGATCAAGAAGAACACAATTCTTCTTTTTGTTTTTGGTGTAAAGCAGACTACAGTGATGATTTAGAATCGACTCTACAAGTCTTTCCAGTAAACATCCTTTCTGGCTCCCAGCACAAGCTTTGTGCTGAAGATTTATCAATATACGGGTATATGTTACCTTCTAAAAAAAAAAAGTATTGAAGTAGCACTTGAAAATTTAGTTTGATAGAGATGCATTACAACAAAGCTTAAAACTTGTATACCTTAATGAGCTTGAATTCTTCAAAAATTGTATAAAATATCAATTATTGTCACATTGTAAACATTTTGAGACGTCCAAAAAAAAAGGCACATTTAGTGCGACGGCATACAAGTTTTATGACTTAAAAGTTATGTACTGAGATGCAAAAATAGTTTACATTTAGTGCTGAGCATTGAATTTAAGACAGCAATAACAATGAAACTCAGCCATCAGCCTAAAAAGAATTGCTTAAAAGTATATAAAATAATCGATAACACATCATCAATATCGATCGCACTAAAGGTTATACGTATCTGTCATCTAATCAATTCTCTCTTTGCTACCTCACTCAGCTCCCTAAGCGTGAACAGCAGTCTAGAATATAACCCCATACCCGAATAAAGGAAGGAGATCAAGGGGTAGGCAAAAAGAAAGAAAAACACAAAAGACAGGACAAAAGGAACGATCGAATCTAGCATGCAAAGAGACCTAAAAATGTTAGAAACTATGGAAATTACATTTCAAAAAAAATGCTATGACTGCTGTCTATGTTATTACTGCATCAGTAGCTAAGCCAACCTATCCAAAGAATCTTATTTCTCATTACGTAACTTTAAGCTATTATCATATCTTTAGCTCCAAAATAGTAAAGACTATCAATCCATATTTCTATTTCAAGACATGGTAGGGATGAAAGAATAGATTTTGATCAGAGGAAAAAATAGAAAAGGACTATTGATAAGTCAGATATAAGCTCTGTCGTTGTCCAAATAATCAAGCAAACAGAGAAAATAATCCAAAACGTTCGTAAGAAAAAGCTAAAAGTTAAATATGTCCAGGTACAGTCTAGAGACCATAAAAAAGTCAAATCCAAATAAAAATCTCCTGATATCAGTATTAGCGTTTCACATTTCCGTAGGAAGAACCAACACTAATCCATTTATCAATCAACTAAACCTCAATCCTAAATTAGTCAGCTATATAAATAATTAATTCTCAAATTAGGAGTCAACTTCCAACGAAAAATTGGAAATTTTTAAAAGGGAATTAGGAGTCAACCTCTTTACCGGAGAGTTCAGAAGAGTAAGGAAGGACGAAGTTGACTGTAAGCTTTGAGGGAATGGATGATGGAGTTGCGGGCCTAGTGGCCATGAACGCAGATGGAGTCTTTGGTGGTTCCACGTTGGGAATTGCTTTCCTCCATGCCTCCAGGAAGTTGGAATCTACAGGGGCTTCCGCCGGCAGGCCGATCGAAAATGGGCGGCGCCACTTCATCGTGGTGGCCCGAGATAGGAATCGTGAACCGTGTCGAAGCATCGCCAGATTAGGAAGCGGAGATGAAGATTGGCCGCGATTGCAGAACCCGGTCGGAACCTGGTAGTGGAATTTACCGGTTTTAGTTGGTAGTTTGTATAAAATGGAGAAGTGTAAAGGGCTACGGGTCTGAAATCTGGATGGGCCATTTAGACAGGTTAAGTTCACAAATGGGAGCTGATCTTGAACTTTTGACTTTGGAGCATGTATTTGACCAATAAGCAAACTTTCAAGTTTAACAAGTTTTGTTCCATGGGCAAAACTTTTGACCTTGAAGTGAAGGTTAAAAGTTCAAGACCAGCTTATTCCAAGGTCAGTTGTGAATTTTACCCAAAAATAAAGGGGCTTTTTACATATTTGACCGTCAATCAGATATAATTACACCCAAAAATTATGTATAAGTGCAACTTTAATCACGTTTTTAAGTTCGGTACAAATACTGAACTGAACTTCAGTTTGAGAAGAAGAAGATGCACGCACAAGAAGACGCAAGTTTTGTGCCAACAGTGGCTAGGTGTGCAATACTTTTAAATATAAGCCACAAAAGTAGCCACCTGTTATAAAAGTCCTTGGACTGGCATCATAGTAAGTAGATGTGGGTAAATCTGGGTGTCGAGTTCAAACAAACTTGTTATAGAAGCCTCAAGCCAGCAAAATTTCAACCGAGCTGAACTCAGTGTATCGTGCGTAACTGAAATGAGATGCTTAATACAAGTGTTCTTCTTGCTCCAACTTATTTGATACTTGTCTTATTAATTATCAACCTGACCAATTTTCAAAACTAGAATAGATTAGGTTAACTCTTCGTTCTAGTTAAATCTTAATCAAATCGAGTTGAATTTAGTTTTGACTTCACTTGGACTTGTAACAGGCTTAATTGCAACTTATTTTGGCTACTCGATTAGATTACCATAGCAATAAGATCAAAAATCTCAATTTTCCAAAAGCCACGCCTAATATTACGTTGAACCAAGACAATGAGCTTGCTGAATCTGTATTCTGTTGTAAGCTACAACCAAGTGTAATTTAAATGAAAAAAAGTAATCTGGAAATTTTAAGTAATATAAACAAGAGACTCTTCTGTGTTCAAATCACAAACCAAATGTGGAACTTAAACTACAAAAGAAAATATGTTTGTAACAGCGAATCTACAATGTGCACGTGACAATACATTCTATTAGGTCTTGTCCCCTTAACCCCTCTCCTCACCGGGGCCAAGTAACTGAAGTATCTCTAGGTGTGCTGAGGATCCAGAAAGGTAATTTTTTTATATAAAAAAAATTATTGTTAATATAGAAAAAGCTAAAGAAACTAGTGCCCCGATCCATGGTCAGAAGCAACACATTACATGGCAGGTTTGTCATCGAAGTTTGGCATCATTCTGTTTGCTCCCCTTGAATGCTGAAAGAGAGAAGAATGATCTTGTTGCTGAAACATAAAGCACCACAAAATTAAGGACAAAGAACATACGCATCATTATCATGTAATGTTACAAGTTATGGCAAGAAAGTAAGTCAAAGTGGAAAAGAAAAAAGTTGTAACCTTTTGTTGTAGTCACTGAAACTGAGATATGGCTTTCTTGCAATTTCTGAGCAGAAAATCTGCCTATACCATTTGGTGCTGCAAACAAGAATGTTCCTTTAGGTTTATCAAATTAGGATAATGCACAAAAATCCATAACAAATGAACCATAGTCCATCTGAAAGCATTTTAATACTTGCATATGTGCAATGATTAAAATTAACAAACAACTTAAACAGTCAATTAGAAAAGACAGAGGGGCTTGAAAAACCAGTTGATGTGAAGCACAAGAACAATATACCAGATAGCTCGTAGACTTCAGATGATGACGACTTCTGTCGCCCAACATTTTTTGCATGAAGTGTAGCCTTCTTAAGTAGGTTGTCAGAACTTCTCTTAGTGAGAATTTTAGAATCCTCTAAATCATCCTCTCCTTCAGAAAATATAGAGAGGCTTGAAAAACCAGTTGAGTTTGCATCGTTCTTACTCTTCCGGGTAAACTTCAGAAGCCGCTTTAAACCTTTAGGCGCATCCTTCTGATAGACCATGGTTGGAGGATTCTCAGCATTACCCCAGTCAATAACGTCAGTTTCACTGTTGTCTTCGAGCAGCATTTGAGAAAGAGAATGACGAACTCGTGGACTTGAGACTCTTACAGGTGCAACATCATCCAGAGATTCATTATTACAGAAATCACCATTACTTGGAATGGACTGATCCTCATGTTCCTCTATTTCCACCCAGGCACTAGGTGAGATGTTTGGTTCTCCTTCAACCTTTGTTTTTGTTGTAGAATCTTCGATCTGTCCAAAATCATCTGTGTCATTTGGAGTAACCTTATCAAACCTTTCTGTGTTTTCACATATCTGGGGGTTCTTTGACTGAGTTTCAGAGTCTTTATCTTCATGGACTTCTAAATCTTCAAGACCCCTATCCTGCAGTTGATTAACAGGATCAAATGAAACAGAAGCCATCTCTTCCTCTTCCATTTGAACTAAATCTACAGTGTCTGCCACACACTCTTCAGGCTGAGATGAAACTTTAACCTTTCTCACTGGACTAAGACCAGATCCAATACCTGAGCCCTTACGAAGAAAAGGCTTTGGCTCCTTTGATTCCAGAGGCACCACGCTACTTCTCTTTGTTACCTTGCTGAGCTTAGGTTTCACTGAGAAAGCAGAATCTTCAGAAGCAGGCTGAACTTTGGATCTTCTAGGTTTGCTAGTTTTTGTCACAGTTTCTAGCTTCTTTTCACTTACACCTTTAACGCTCTTTTTGGTATCATGCTGTGTTGCTCTCCCGGTCTTTCGTTGTAATATCTCAACCTTTGTAGCGGTTGGCACCGGCTGTGATATTCTGCGGGTAGGTGTAGGACCTGCAGGAATAGCAGGTGATATCCCTGCAGCTCTTGGTGAAGGTGCAGATGACCATGACTTGCGGGTTGCTGGCAACGTTGATGGTTTCAATGGAACTTTCTTTACAACTGCAGGTTTAGGAGTTCCACTTCTGGGATTGGCAGATTCAAATAAGTTCTTCACTGCTTTCTGTGTTCTCTTTATACTTGATTTTTTATTATCACTACTTGCATTTCTTGAGACCATCTCCGCTTTTCTCTCATCAAGCTTTTGCTGCAGTGCTTTAATTTGCTTTTCCTTCTCTCCTTGCTTCCTGGTAGTTTCACCACGAAGTTTCTCATCCCTCTTTTCTTTGTAATGATCATAGAAACCACCTCTACACTCGTTGGAAAGACGTTGGAGTTTGCTATCACTAGGTGCCAGGTTCTGATATTTGGTAGGCTTGGTTTCCATCATTTTCATCAGCAATTGGTTTAGTTCTGCTTCCTTTTTTCGAGTCCATTCAACTGAGGCATTTAATTTCTCACTTGTTTCTTCATACTGGTTAGGGAGAGACTCCTTTCTCTTTTCCTCGGGACTAGATGCTCTTTCTTGAGGTAAGTTTGGTTTGCAATCATTGTCAGCAGCCTCAGCATCATAGCTTTCTGGAGTTGGATGAGACTCTGGATTCATTTCTGAAGCACTCTCGATTTCATGATCTTCCAATTTATTGGAAGCTAAGGAAGCTGCTGGATCACGAGAAGCAACATTTACAGGGTTAGCACGTTCACACACCCCTGAACTCCATCTTCTCAATACCGCTTTATTAGCAACTGAGACATTCAATAATGGCTTTGTCTTCTGAAAATCTACTGTTTGACCTCTCTGTTTGCTTTCAAAAAGATTAATTGCATCTTGCACGCTTATTCTTTGTACATTGTTCTCAGATTTTTTTGAGGTTTTCTCACATTCTTCCCCATCATCATTATCGCTTGCAGATTCATCTTTATGAGAGAATGACCTTTCCCTGGCAGGAAAGAAATTCAGACTCTTTATTGTTAAAGCAGTGGATCTTCGTGATCCAGAGCGCCCAATTTGGACTCTTCGCATTGGAGATGCAGACCTCCTTGGTGATGCAGATCTCATAAGAGTCCGACTCCTTGCCACCGCTGGTTGTTCCTCCTCACTTGTCGAAGATGATTCCTCACTTGCTGATGAGATTTGCCTCTCAAGCTGAGCAGCTTTTGCAGGCGAGGCTCTATACTTCACAGCTGTATCTGACTGTGATGCTCTCGATGTCTTACAATTCCTCCCTTCTGGACCAATTTTCTCAGTCCTGACATCGTTGTTAGACAGAGATGGTTCTTTAGCAGGAAAAGCGCCAGTTACGTTTTCCTGCTGCAATGCAACAATCTTCTGCAGACAGTACCTAAAATAGACAGCACATTATCGGTCATTACCAGTTGCACATATTTCGGTTCTAGAATATTCAATTTCAGCTCATTGATAGGTGGAAGGAGCCTATTTACAAATTAAACTACATATAAAAAGAAATACATTCATTGCTTCAATTTTTCAGTTTCCAAAGTCCTATTGCCCCAAGAAAGTGAACGCTTCCCCCTCTCCACATTTTTTCAGAAGAGTTTGGATGAAGAATTTTGCAATCTCTCCTTAACGAACATTTGTGCAGAAACAATCTCCAATTTAAACTGGTCAAACTAAGAAGCACTAAAGGTCTTCAAGATGGAATTTCCTTGTATGAGCAAGGGTAGCTAAGTCACCTTAATTCTACAAAGGGAACAGTCATACAACAACAACAACAAAAAACCCAGTGTAATCCCATGAGTGGGGTCTGGGGAGGGTAGTGTGTACGCAGGCCGTACCCCTACCTTGTGAAGGTAGAAAGGTTGCTTCCGATAGACCCTTGGCTTAAGAAACACTAAACAGGAAGCAACCAACAATAACAACACAAGAAAAAAAAACAAAGACACTATGTAATAACAAAGATCTAAAAATAAGAAATACAAGAATACTACTAACAATTTTGGTAAGAAAAAGGGAACAGTCATAATATTGTCAAAATCCGAAATCAAATCTCTCCTCTCAACCAAATGAGTCTATGTCACTAGAACAGGTTGGAAGACCTCCGATCAACACATTGACAATTCAAAAATACCCCTTCACAATTGGAGTACTTCACTTCCAAATTTCCTCTTACTATTAAGTTCTGGTAGTTGACCATTGAATCGAAGGGTAATAGTTTCTTCCCTTATAATATGATCACTCAAAGTAGAATAGCAAACTAAAAAGTTTATAGAAATGAAAAGAAATGGTGATAGAACATAGAAATTACTACACAATTTTGTTATAGGTAAAAACAAAACCTTTCTGGCTTCAGGCGCCTATCCTGTCCATTAGCTTACCTTAAGTCAACAGCTCCAAAATAGTAAGAGAACTTTTCTATGTTAGTGATATCCTCAAAAGAGCATTTGGTGCCAACAGCTTTGTCAAAAACAGCAGCCAATTCCCCTGTTAGTGCAGCGAGCCTCAAGTCCATTGCGCGCAACAATTCATTCCTGTTTACCGTGAGGATTTTAGGAGATGCTAGAATAATTACAGAATTTAAAATTTCAAGAGTCTCAAGGACATACTTGGAGGCATCTGATGAAGAAGGGTGATCATCAGCCTGGGTAGAAATCAGTAATCATGTTAGCTTCACATCGTATAATCATATATAAGCAATAATCTCTGAGAAATAAAAAGAAAAAGTAAAAAAGGATGACTCAGGAACAGGGAGAGATCAAATTACATCAACTGTTGATGCCGCA